CCTTGGAAGGATGGACGGCTGAGTCAACCTTCGGAAGATAAGTAGGTTGAAATGTCCCTGTGGACAGAAGTGTGGGTGGGCTGTAAAGTGTCTGGATTTTGAGCATGTGACCACTAAGTTGCTACAACAGTTGTAAGTTTGAGGACAAGTTGTAACTTCTTTTTTCAGCACCACTGTTTTAACTTTTGAAAGTTTCTGAATGAATGGTCATAAGTCAAAGACTTCCTTTATATACCATCTGTAATTCTCAAAGATGCAAGCAAATGAAAAGGATTTTCATTTTTTTTCTTCCCAAGAGACCATTTTCCTGATACTTGGAACATGAGGAAGCCTTGCTAAGTATTGACATCTTTCCATTAAGTGATTTTGAGTGTGTTTTGTACCAGTGTCGCATAGGCAAGAGATAGGAGATGGAAGAATGAGGCTGTAGCAAAAACAGTAGTTAGCAGTGCAGCTTTTCCAGTCCAGGCATGTGTGAAACTGCCTTTATATTGAATTTGACCAGGGGTTCATTTAATAGGCTGGTATTATGTATCCTGACCAGGGTTGTCTGCAAGGTCACAGCAAAAATCTTTGCAAGGCCTGCATGAAATATGCAAAATATATAACACTTGGAGCTTTGCTGAATAAAACTGCAGACTCGGTCTTTGAGAAATAGATCCTTTCTTTTCTCGTTCACCCTTAATGTTCAGTTTCTGTAGATTTTGGAACAGGGAGGCAGCAATAATAGCATGAAGGGCCTGACAGACGCTTTCAAGGACTATAATTGAGTTGGAGACTTGATCGAAAGCTTGCGGAAACTGCTGGTTCCACCAGAGAGATTAAAACGAGCAGAAACGGAAGAGAGTTGCTCCTTAACTGTAAAGGCACTCTCTGATCTGCTTACAGGATTAATAGTCGAAAGCGGGACCTCTTTTTTTTAAAAAAAACCAACAGGCGAAACACCCCCCCCCCCCCAATCCATAACTCTGTTGCAGGCTTTGGCTTGTTCTGGAAGGATGGGGGTGGGGGAAGCAAAAGAAGAAAGCAAAATGTGTCATCAAAACAATCCAGATTCTTTTAAGATCACAGGCCAAAAGGATAGTAGACATTGCATTTCATGGGAGTTATTGAAGAGAATATTATTTAGAATATTTGTTTAACTGGAAAGAGGATGTCATTGTATATTTCACTTGAAAAAAGGAGCCAAGAATGGGGATCAATTTTCCTCTCTACTTCTAGAACAAGGTGCTTTATGGACCATAGATGGCCCTCTTGGCAGTTAAGACAGATTATCTTGTTTTCTTTATTGCAATAGAGTTTACTGTGGTTCCGTTAGAACAGCTGTTCTTCTTTCTCAGATTTTACCCTTATAGTGGATGTTGATTTAATAGTCCAACTTCTTTGTTTACAGAGGACAAAAAATTGGGGTTACTTGAAAGCCCCATGTACTCTTTTCACTTAATAAATGGCTGCCAGATGAAATGAAGAGTGGCTATTTGTAGACAGGACCAGTAGCCTTCAATTACTCCCATGTCGTCCTCCCTCTCCTGAGTTAAGGTTGTGCTTATTTCGGATCAGTTCCTTGTTCTGCAATTCATCAGTTGGTAAATGAGTTCTCTGTCTCTTGATGTTGACAGAGGAAACAATTGACACAAATTCCAAGACAAGTTTAAATTAAAATGTTGACACAAAAATGCATCTGCTAATCATGGAAATGGTCTAGTTTACAGACCAGTTTTGCATTCTTATGTACCAGGTACTTTTCTTTTTAATGAAATTTCCAGAATATATTTGAGAGTATTTATTCTATATGGCGGGTCATGTCCACTATGGTTCAAAGCTGCATATGTGTGTATAGGAATTTATCATACAAATATATCATTTATGACAGAATAAGATAGAAAATGAAAAGATGGATCATTGTGGGCTCCCTCTCAGTTTTTGAGAGTGCTGGAAAACATGTTGGATCTCATCTTCCAATTTACTTCCTTTGTTCTTAAAGATCTACATTCAAGGCACTTAACCAAGATTAATTGTGGTTTGAAACATGGAACCCAACTGAGACCACAGAATCATGTGCAGCTTCTCCAGACTCTGGAGTACAGATTCTAGTCCCCTTTCAAAAACTGCAGACAAAATGTAATTTATAATACAATCTGAACAGAAAATTATTAAATATATGAGCAGTAATGGCATTAACAAAACATTTTGAATCCAAACTTTTTAATGTACTCCCAGGCTAAAGCCACCATTTGAAGTGTAAAACAAACTGTTCCATTCAATTGGGTGATGCTTCACACAGAAAAAAAAAGTTTTTTAAATTTGATATAAGGTAGTCCTCGACTTACAATCATTTGCTGAATGAGTGTTAAAAGTTAAGATGGTGCTAAAAGGTGACTTATGACTGGTTCTTGAACTTATATGACAGTCACATGATAAAAATTCGAGTGCTTTGCAATTAGCGTGGATGGTTGTAGCATCCCAGGGTGACATGATTGTCATTTGTGACTTTCCCAGGGGGTTTCCAACAAACAAAGCTAGAAGCTGAATTCGCTTAATATCTTTGTGATATGCTTAACAATGGTAACCAACCTCCTCCCCCTTCCCCCCCCCCGTAAAACTGAGCACGACTCATTTAATGGTTAATGATGGAAGATCCAGTCCCCATTGTAGTTGTTATGTTTTTCAAAAATACAGACAGGTGGTCATATGACAGACTGTGCTATGATTCTCTGGTAGGGTTGAGCCATCTATAACGTGTAAGTTTAAAATGGACACAAACCCCTTTTATGTACTTCCTTGAAAATTTCTGGACAGCACCACAAAATTTGGCAACAGATTGCTGTAAAATGGCATTTTAGAAATGTAATAATTACTAGCCAAGACTTCAGCATTTTTTCCTCAAGCAACGTTCACCAGTTGCTCAGAGCTGACAGCACTGGACTGGATGAACAAATAACCTGGCCTTGTAGGAGAAGTTTGGCGAAACTAAATGCTCAATAAACAAATAGGTTGCCAAATTCAAACATGCACTTCACATTATGTTTGCCCTTGCCCAGTAGATGCATGAATTGATCTAAGTTTTTTTAAAAGACTATTTAAAAGCTGCAACTTAAAGATTAAATGAAGAGATGATGCTTTTGATGTGTGTATCTCAGTCTAGACAACATCAGTTCAACTAAAAATAAACACTTACCTTTTAATGGGACCTCACCCATCTGCAAGCTCAAATTGCATGGCATAAGAATAATGCAAAACATTCCACCTGGAATGGCCTAATAGCACTGCCTGGAACAACACATGCTTAAGTGTTCTGAAGGGCGAAGCCCAGGTTGTATTTATGTGCTTACTAAATGCAAAGGCAATTTATGTGAAGTCAACAACAAAGCTATATTAACTAAATTGCTGAAAAAACATTTTTGCTTTTTTGAATTGATAACTGCTAGGATTTTTTTAACTACTACTTGTGTGTGAAAACTGGGAAGTAGAAAGCTGCAGATAACTGCAGTGCAAGACTTCATTTGCTGAATTGTCAATGAACTCATGACTAAAATATGTCTTTTAATAACCTTTTCTAGAAGCATTTCAGTCAATGTATTACCATAAAATTGCCTGCAGAAAATGTGTATCATCTGTGTATACCTCAGGAGATATGTGTGCAAAATGTTTCAGATAATATAAATATTAGAATATTGTTGGGTAGTTGAAAACACAGTCACAGACTAATTACTGAGAGGTTTTATGGAATCCTAAGCAAGTTAACCTCTTCAGGTTTTGGTACTCATTTCTTTATTTATTGTTACCTATCTGTTCCAATCCATCACTTTAGTTTGCAGCCACTTCTTCAAAATGCACTGAATATCCAGAGTTTCTGCTTCCTGTCCCTCAAGGCTAGGTTGTATCTGTACAGCATTATGATATTTCTTGACAGTAAAACTACAGTAGTGCAGTTTTGAAACATGTCTTTCTCAAGATTAATAAGACTCACTAACAATAGGCAATGATGCAAGAGGAGGCTTTTTCCCCTTCATTCACTTGCCTGATTGGGGCATTTTTCAGGACAGATTGTAGGTTGTAGATGTTGGATAGCCATTTGTCTGAAACATTATAGGGTTTCCTGCCTAGGCAGGTGGTTGGACTAGAAGACCTCCAAGGTGCCTTCCAACTCTGCTATTGTATTGTATTTATTGCAAACTGGGGACTGAGTCTTCACAGAGTGGGAGAAGAGAGGCTTATATCTCTTCTCCAGATCAAACATCATCTTCTCTTTGTGCCCTTGTTATTTACAATAACAGCAGGTAAGAGAGAAGAGCAGACAGCAGGGCTTAGAAAGGACAGACAGCTGGACATCTGTGCTGAGAAGCTGCTGCCTTTACACCCTATTATGGAATGGAAATCTCTGCTGGTTTCTAACTTGCAACCGTAATTCATTTTCCTGGATCTTGGGTGGACTGCTTAGGCTAGCAGGGTGAGGAGCACTCAAAGTGACCTCCCCAATTGTTAGCCTTTTACCTACTTATCCCTCTAATTTCCCATGTGTACCTTCATGCATACAAAACAGATGTTATGATGATTAGTCCAGCTACTCAATGGCATTCATCATTCACATGGATGAATGCAGCAACTATTTAGATATTGCATGTCCTTGACTTTGGGATATTTAAAAGTTCCTAACCTCTCATTTCTTCATTTTACATTTAATTTGAGTGTTTATCACTGAATTATATTAACAACAGTTCTTAAAGAGATGAGGGGCAAGCCTTGTACCTATTTTCCATAATAATTAACTTCAGTGTTCCCGCAAGAAACAATAACTAGAGAAAAGTGTGGTTAAGGGGGAAAAAACCCTATCTTCCCTTTTTTAATATGGATGGGCCCCATATGCTGAATGATTGCTTTGTTAGCAAACCAGTTATCAGAAAGACTGTATTTCTGAGATGATTAAAGCCAGAAATTGAATCGGAGTTGATTTGGAATGAATGCATACCGTAATTAAAATTTGCCTTACTTCTGTTTAGATGAAAATACTGGAGATGGTGAATTAGATCTAAGTGGAATTGATGACAGTGAAATAGATATGGTAAGAATCTTTCCACCCCCAACTCTCATAATTGTTTTTATACGTATGTGGATATGTTCAAAATTATCACAGGTTGTTTTTTTTTAAAGTGTTATTGAAAAAAATAAATGTTATTCTATATGCTGTTCAGAAGTTGCATGTGCTACACAAAAAATAATACAAAATTCTGTATTTAAATGAAACTGGTGATTGGTAATAAATAAGCATGTATCTACAGAGAAAAGTATAGGTGTGCAATTTAGCAATAGAATAAGTAGAAATGAATTATTTGTTTTATTTCTAAAATCAGTATTTTTACTTTAAATATAAAAGAGAGGAGCTGCCTTTGGTTTGGGTGAGGAGAATGGTGGACACAATAAGGAAGGTGATTGTGCTAATTCCTATATATTTGTTGCAGACATCTTAACACTTTTACTCTTTATCTCTAGTACATACTTAATGATTCAGAAGCCAGGATAAAAGCAGAACTGTGGATGAAGGAAAATGCAGATTATCTCAAGGAACAAAAGGGTAAGCAAAATAAATAAAAATCTTTATGGTGAGTCTTGCCTGCTTTTTATTTGCTTATAACAGTGTTTAAAAATCTTTCTTAGGCTGGAAGGCGTACAATGTAAATAAAAGCAGTAAAGAAACTTACAGGGCTCAAAACATTAACTGTAATTGATCAGTTTGAAGAAAACCATAGTTACATTATTTTAAGAAGACAGCCCAGACTTAAACACATTCTTTAATAGAAAGAAACAAGCCATGCGTGTGCTATCTTGTAGTTAGCACAGGTACCCCATCTCTACCATATTATAAAATAAAAATACTGCAAACCTCAGGAAAGATCTCCTCAGAACTATGAATGCTGGGCATTTTTAGCTCTATTGTTTTCATTTGGGTAAGTCAGAGGTATTACGGTACCTGTGACACAGCATTACTGAACACTGAACTAGATTTGACACTGCTACAGAACGGAAAAAATCAAGTCTGTGTTTGCTCCCATCTCCACCCCTACCTCCAACCCCCTGATTCTTTAAAACATTATTCCGCTTACACTTGCCTTTTATCCTTTTTTTTTTTTTTAGAAAAAGAAGCAAGGATAGCAAAGGAAAAGGAGCTTGGTATTTATAAAGAACATAAGGTAAATATTATTCTTTAAATCAATGATGTCAAAAGAAACATTTGAACAATGTTTAATTTTGTCAGATAAGACCTATAGAAAGTATTTCATTGGAAACACCAATGTGTTTTCAAATAAGAACTCAATGCTACCAGCTTGGCTGGCTTCAAACAAGGGCTGGGCCAATAAATGAAAGTCATGGGATCATTGTCTTGATTGCTTGTATAACTGCTTTGGAAGACCAGCTGCTGGGAAACTAGTGAGCTTCCTTGTACAATTTGTTGGCTACTGTCAGAACAGACTGCTTGTATTAAGATTGTAATATTACAATTTATTTTTCCTCTCTATATTTTTAAAATAAATATGAAGCATATCTTTTTGTGCATTCTATCTTATATATGCTTGTTAAAATCCTCATGTCACTAACATATATTATTAGTGTATTTTATGTGTAGTGCATAAATATATATCAACTTCTAGTTAGATGTGGGCTTTTTTACTGCTTTTAATGCTTTTAATGTCATGAAAGCAAATAATATGTAACCCAAACTTTCTTAATTATTTATTTTTAAAATAAGTATCCCAAAGCTTCTTTGTCCTACTTAACAAAATAAATAAATAAATAGCTAGACAAACCTGAGCTCCATTTTTATGGACTGCATCTATGCAGTTTTGGTGGCAGAGCTAACAGGTGCATTTGCATGACCTTTTTCAGGGTTTTTTCTTGATTTCCCAATCTACCAAGAGCCCTGTCTTTTTCTGATGACCTCCCACTGAGGTTCTAACTGCATCTGACCCTGCTTAGTATATTGAAATTAGTCAGTGATGACTCAGTGCTGCCATAGGTAGAAAAAAGTAAATGCTTCTAGCCAGTCCTGTGACTTGTTGGGTTATCCTTTGAGAGAAAGTTAGTGCAGTCTGATTTGAGTGGAATGAAATTTGAGGTGGTCATACTTTTTTTTTAAACCCCAATGCTAGATAGTCCCGTGATCATCTAAGAGGAGTGTGTGTGTCTGTGTGTCTGTGTGTTTATTTATATATGTGCGTGTGCATGTGCGTGTGCGTGTGTGTGTAGTGTATACAGGCAGGCAAAAAGCAGTGGGAGCAGGAGCGACTTCTGACTTCCTGCTGACTTCCTTATTTATTTTGCTTTTAAGGAAACTGGCAAGGAATGTTGGAAATCATAATCCTGTGAACATGGGGCTCCTGCAACAGTCATACATTTGCAAATAAACTGATTTGAACATCATGGAAATTTCAATTCCACAGGAGCAATGGGCCCTGGATTTTTAATGCTTACTTTAGGCATTCTTTAAAAATGATTGCGGCATAATGCACTCTTTGGGCTAACATGAGGGTACAAACAGATAAACACAATAAGAACTTTAGTAGTTACCCATTTTCATACCAGTTTTCGCTTTGAAAAATTGAAGAAACATTTGTAATAGATATGTTGAAGTTATGTTAGACATTTATACTTCAGAAAGTAGTTTTTAATCTGCATTAATAAGAGAGCAGGGAAGCCTGTGTTGTTTATTTGTTTCCTCTTCCCATTAATGAAATTCCATTCTCTGTTTTGGACAGAAATTGTCAGGGAAGAGTTTTCAGTTATTAAAGCTGTCCATTGAACTACATTCTGAAATTGCCCCACTCCTTTACCTGATATGCTGAGGTCCTCTTTCAATCTGAATCAGTTGCAGGTTCAGGGTTACAGTCACTCCTTTCTTCAGTAGTGACAATATTATGTATCCAAACTCTATCCCAATAATTATGAAAGAAAGGTTGGGAAGTAGATTTCCTCTTCTTAGCAGTAGCCACACATTCCAGTCTTCTTTTTTAAGCTACCACTTTATTCTATGTTAATCCATCATGAAACTAATCACATTATCCCTTTAAATAAAACATTTCTACTGTATATATCTAAATGTGAATATCTATGAGAGAGATAGCAATAGCACTTACATACCACTTCAGAGTGCTTTTACAGCCCTCTCTAAGCAGTTTACAGAGTCAGCATCTTGCCCTCAACAATCTGGGTCCTCATTTTATTCACCTCAGAAGGCTGGAAGGCTGAGTCAAGATAGTGAGATTTGAACTGCAGCTAGCAGTCAGCTGAAGTAGCCTGTTGTACTGCACTCTAACCACTGTGCCACCTTGGCTCTTCAGCCTCTCCTCAGATGATCCTAGGGCAGTGACGGTAAACCTTTTTCTCCTTGGATGCCAAAAGCAGCAGGTTGCCCATTGAGCCGTTTTTCTCCCTCTGGAGGCTGGACGGCAAAAGCACCAGCCCAAAGCACAAACCAGAAGTTCGGGAACGGACTTCCGGTTTGAACGTTGGGCGGTTTTTCATTCTCAGGAGGTTTCAGGGAAGACTCCGGAGATTGAAAAATGGCTAAAAATCAAGGTCAAAAATCAGGTGGCCAGGCACACATGCGTGCTGGAGTTGACAGGGCAACACCTTGCGTGCCCTCAGAAATGACTCAGCATGTCACCTGTGGCACACGTGCCATAGGTTCGCCATCATGGTGCTAGGGTATAGATTGCCAAAACTCAATGAAGATATAATGCTTTGTTAGCGCAAACAGTAATTTGCTACCTTAATTCTGATATCCTGATGTTCAGTAAATCCATAATTTGGCTTGCTAAACTGTGCTTCCCTAGTCCTAGTAGCATAGAGAGAGGGAAACATCACTAAGGTCTGGGTTCTGTCTTGCAAATGAAAAAGCTGGAGAGATGCAGAAATGATGTAACTTCTTTGAAAAACTGGCAGCATTATTTTTGCCAGATAGTTGCTGTTTTTGCATTTTTCATTTCCTCATAAAATCCTAGCAGCATCCCCATCACACCTGCAATTTTTGTATTCAGCAGCAGAGACTAGAGCTCAACAGCAGAGTACACACTTTGCATGTAAAAAAAAAAGTTCAAGCTTGGTTCCTAGTATCTTCAAATTGAAATGATTCCTGTTTGATAACTTAGACGAACCTATAACTTAGAGAAACTGTCTGTCAGAGTACAGACAGTACTGAACCCGATGACTGATTTGTTAAAAGTGGCTTCCTCCATTTTTATTGCTGCATTTACATTCAGTGCATTATGCATCTAGTTGACATTGCAGTTGCTTTGAGTATCGCATATCATTTCTCAGGGGATTGCATTTATTCAGGCCCATTTTCTAGCAGATTTTCAACATGCATTTCTGGCAGCTTCCAGTGATCTACAATATAGCAGTCCCAGAGAGCCCTTGGACATAGTTCTTTACTTTTACTTGATCTGTCTATGCATCCCTTGAGTCTCATGTTGCAGCAGTGGCTGCAGTGTGCTGTTTGATATTTCCATTGAGATCAGCAGAACAAAGATTTGCAGTAAGTTTTCCTTCTATGCTTGTGTGTCTGTGGGTAGCAATAACATGATTTATTTTATACTGACATTTTTATAAAAAGCACCACTTGGAAATAATTCTTCTGCAAACTGGGACAAATCCAGATTTTAGAAATGAAGAAGCAGAGCCATGGGGAATCGTCAGCATTTAGAAGAACCAATGAAGAGTGTGTGGACTTTCCTAGTTGAGAATTGCAAACTAAAAGGCTATCACTTTTTAGCATGAAGAAGGGGAAGGAAGGATCGTCTGGAAGCACAGGACATGTTTAACATAATTATTTTTTACTAACATCCCAAGAAACACCAACTAAGTCTACATTGTGAAAATCATATATCTAGAAATTTAAGAATAGGATCTTTGTAAGTACATTGGGATCCGAGAATTTGTTTATTACCAAGCTAAAACTAAAATCACATTTTTCACCTACAAGTCCATATTGTATTTCAAGTGTACAGCCTAATTAATTGTTGGAATGCCAGTTTTTAATGTTTACAGTTTGTTAGGGTGAGTCAACAGATTGTAGGTGACAACCCAGGTTCAGGTATAACCCTTATACCTTCACAACCAGATTGTAGCTCATGTGTTTTGTGTGGAGATTCATTTGAAGATACAACATAAGACAGAAATTAGTTTGTTACATGGAACTACACAATATCTATCTATCTATCTATCTATCTATCTATCTATCTATCTATCTATCTATCTATCTATCTATCTATATCTATATCTATATCTATATCTATATCTATATCTATAGCCATCCTTGTATTTATTTATGTAACGTTCTTAATCAAGTCATTTAACGATATAACAGCTTTATTTGTAAGCTTGGTTGGTTTTTGTTGTGGAATAATGCACTGTGAAAACCCAACCCATTTGGTTACTATTTAGTTCAGTGAATTGAGTGAACCCATTTAAAATGGATTACTTTCTTGGCAAAGTACTTGATTGCAAACTGAGTACAAGCCAGCAGTATGATGTGGCTGCAAACAAAACAATAGAACTACATTTTTCAAATCATGGGAGGTAAGGAATCTATTTTCCTGTAGAGTCAAG